CTGCCCCACGGCCTGACTCGCCCCCGTGGCCGTGAAGCTGCTTGGGCGGGGCGGCTGCCCCCAGTTTTGGCTCTCCAGCATCCTTGTGCGTGCGGCTCCGGGCGGTTTCCCCGTTCCAGCTCCTTCAAACCCGGCCTGACCCTTTGAGCCGCCTCGCCCCGGTTTTCGGTGCCCGCCCTATGCCGCCGGGTTTGTCCCTGCTCCCCACGGAGCCGTGCCTTAATACTGCTCTGAAAATGAGAAGTTGCTGCCTTGTTTTTTCTCCAAGTCGTGCCCTTAATTTGCCTTAGAGATTCAGCAGATTTTGCTTGCTCATGGGGATGCCCTCCTGCTGCTCAAATGTCTTCGCTATAGCTTATGTACCTCCCTCCTTTTATGAGAGCAGGGGTTTTCAGTCCTTGCCATTTTGCTCACCTTTAAAAATGTATCGCTGGAGATGGGGATTTTCATATATAGAAATTAAGGCAGGGGATCACGTTTCATTACTGCCTTTCATTAAATCCCCTTGAGAACAGCAGAATTAATAGACTGCATGTTTTTATACTTTGCTCATTTTAATTTTCCGTTCTGGTTTTCTGTATGTTCCTCTAAACTCTTCTGGGTGTCTGAAGTTAGATGCCTGGCTACTCTTCATTAAATACTTAATCAATGCTGGTATTTTTACTGCCAAGTGTTTAAATAAATTGCTTGACCAAAAAGATGCTGGTTTCTGCTGTAGCAAAGCATGGAAACAGCCTCCTGTTTTTCATTCTAGTGATTTGGGGGATACTCTGGAGTTTTAATTGTGTTCAGATATGTCCCAGTAAGCACAAACAATAAGTGATATTCTTTCATCTTTCGTTGGGGGAAGAGTAATTTAGCTGGCTAATAAGTTTCATACCAAGTGTTGATACAGAGCAAGAAGAGATGGCCTATTGTTAATTGGAAGAGTCTTGCATGCGTTTATGAAATGAATAAATAAGGACTATTTCTTATCTCAACTTTGAAATAGCAAGTATGAAAGGCTCAGTCATTTCTGTAGCTGTTTATAGTTTCTCTCCACTCCACTGAAAACACTCAGTAAGGGTAAATATGGGTAGCCACTCTCAAAGTTTCTGTGTTTATCAAATCTACTGCTTGCTGCTAATGTTTTTTGTTGCTAGATAAAAACCGCTTATTAATTGTGACTTCTTGATTAGCACCTGAAAGTTAGAAAAAAGATACACTAATTCTGGGTTTCTTCCCTCTTTGGGTGTAGACTGGGTGTTTGACTCTTGCTGTCCCTTGTTAGGGCTGTAGCAGGCAGATAAAAGGATAATCTTGCAGACCTTACATTTTTGCTATCCAGAGTTAAGCATTAAATAAACATTTGTTTAAAATGCAACTTGAAGTGCTGGGTAGAAATTGGAAGACCCTGAACTCTCATCAGCACTGTTAGCCTTAGTTAATATACACATTTTAATAGGCTATATGTTTTGCTTACCACATAACTGAAATCTAAACAGTGATTTTTCTTTTTTTCCTCTGCTTGAATTGTCAACTATAAAAGTAAATGTAACTGGGTGGATTGCTCTTGAATGCAGTGCTAGACTTTTCAGTAAAGGAGTATACTTAAAGGGAGTGCTCATCTCAGTATTGTCTGTACCGAATAAGCTTTATCACACAGCAAAATATGATAGTTGTCCCATCTTTGGGAATGTTCTAGGGTGAAAGCCTAGAAAACTGCTAATAAACAAGGACCTGGTTTGTGTTTTCAAGTGAGTTCTCAGACAGTGCTAAAGTTACAGGAAATTCTCCTCTGCTAGAATGATGCTCTGCATTAAGAGGAATCACAAGTCTGGTTTACGTCATTGAGATATTTGTTAATATCTCCCAGAGTACTTCTTCAACTGATAATAAAAGCCACAAGAGCAAATGATAACCATTGCAGTACACACAAAAAGAACTCTACTTCTTCTTAAATTGTTAAAGCTAAGCTTCTTAAAAAGTAGTAATAAAAAATAAGACCAAAAATCTGTTTAAGAAAATACTGAAGTAACTTGCAGTCATGGTTCATTTGGCAGTTTTCAACCATTTTTAGTTTTCTATAGCTAGCTTTTCACCACTTCGGGGCATGGTTTAGTCTAGTCTACCCTTGACTGGTTTAATGTGGACTTGGTAGTGTAGGTTAACGGTTGGACTGGATGATCTTAAAGGTCTTTTCCAACCTAAACGATTCTATGGAGTCTGAGTCACGGAAAAGATGAGCTGCACTGTGTCCTACTTTGGGCATGGAAAAGATGTCTAGTCAGTATGTGATGGCAAAGTTGTTATTGTGGACAGTGGTTTTATTTTTCTTAAAATATTCTTGTTTGGACAGCAGTGACCATGAGCAATAACAATTTTCTTAAATAGAACTGGCCTCAGCTGCCATATAGAGTGATTTCTCTACTGACAATGAATGAAGGCACAGTATTAGAAGTCTCCTCTTCCAAAATAGTCAAATGAGCTTTCATAGTATAGGATGTAATTATTATCAAACATAACAATAAAAATAAAATCTAGGACCTTGGGGAGCTGCTGAATGAAAATCTCATCACCTTTCTTTGAAGAGAGGAATTTCTTTCCCTCTTAAAGTGTTGTTACACTTGAGGATTGTCCTCAGCTGGCAGGTAGGGACGAGGCCAGGAGCTGTGCTTCTGTTTCACTCATGTTCTCCTTCCAGGGTGCAGTTTCACAGACACCCTTTAGGAACTATGAGTTTGCACAGCTGTCCAAAGAGGTTGTGCCCAGCTTCCAACCAACAGTGCTTTCCTGCTTTAGAGGAGCCCCTAGATCAGAGTGAATTTGGCTGAAAACTAATCTCTTGGGGTGCAGGAGTCTGGGAGGTGCACAATTGTTTGTTGTTGCAGAAGATGCATAGCAGTTTCACATCAGTTTAAGTTGATGGGGGAGCTCCGTTCTTAAACCTTTTAAGGTGAGACTGGGATCTTTTTGTAGTCAGAGCTTGTGTTCTGACTTTCAAGCTTATGAACCTTTTTGTTACTGTGTATTACTGTGTTACATCTTTGCATGCGTGTGTCCCTCCCCAGCATTGAGCACTGTTTTAGTGTGGCTTGAGGCTTTCCAGGCATGGACTGAGAGCTCAATGATATGTAGGTCTCTGCTGCTATCTCCCCCATTGTTTTAGGAGTTACTGCCTTTGTGGGTGTGCAAAGAATTTTGCAGACAAAGGTGATCATAGCCTGATCCAAATAGTCTTGGAGATGTGTATTGAAAACATAACTGTGCTGTATTTTGGAAATGGTGGTAAGGTTTTCCTGGTGAGGAGGTTGGGTAAAATTTCTCTGGAAGAAAGGTGAGAAATTAAGTAGAAGTGGAATTGAAACTCATTAGTCTTCACATGACTTGCAATATTCCTTTTTTTTGTTTTGTTTCAACCAACATGCTTTTGATGGAAGGATGTTAACTATTCTTTTTCTCTTTTTCTTTCTTTTTAGCTTGGTTTTACTCTTGGCAATGTGGTTGGGATGTATCTGGCTCAGAACTATGATGTGAGTATCCTTGCATTCTCAGAGCTGAACCTATTTTGAACTGAAAATATAAGGATGTTTTCCCTCAGTTGGAATTGAATCAGTTTTTATTTTGATGGTTTATTTTATTTGAACAGAATGCAGATTGTATTGACTTTAGTTACAGATGAACTCAAATATAAATAGAACCAAAACATCTACCTCTGACACCTTGTCTATGACAGAGTAGTGCTGAGAGCCTTAACTGATGTTGGGGCCCTAGAGCACAGATATTGTAACCAGACATCTACATAGACAGAGCGAGGAGAAACAGAAGAGGTCTAGCAGCTGCTTATGGATTGTACCAGCATTAAAATACTGGTTTCCTGACCCTGCTAGCCTGTCACAGTGTTCTCCACTCAGTATACCTGTTTATTACTTAAGAATCCTTCAGAGCATCTGAAATTTCTGTCCTCTGTACCAGTAATAAAAATAAGTTTTGCCAGCTGTTTGGGAAAATTCAGCACCTGCTCCTACCTCAAACATATATCATAGAATCACAGAATGCTTTGGGTTGGAAGGGACCTTTAGATGTGACCTAGCCCAACCCCCCTGCAGTGAGCAGGGACAGCTTTAACTAGATCAGGTTGCTCAGAGCCCCGTCCAGCCTAACCTTGAATGTTCCCAGGGATGGGGCCTCCACTACCTCTCTGGGCAACCTGTTCCAGTGCTTCATCACCCTCATTGTAAAAAACTTCTTTCTAATGTCTCGTCTAAATCTATTCTTCTTTAGTTTAAATACATTATTCCTTCTTCTGTCACAACAGGCCTTGCTAAAAAGATTGTCCCCATCTTTCCTGTAGGCCCCCTTTAAGTACTGAAAGGCTGCAATAGGGTCTCCTCGCAGCCTTCTCTTCTCCAGGCTGAACAACCCCTACTCTCTCAGCCTGGTCTTGTAGGAGAGGTGCTCCAGCCCTCAGATCATTTTGGTGGCCCTCTTCTGGACCCGCTCCAACAGGTCCATGTCCTTCTTGTGTTGAGGGCTCCAGAGCTGGACGCAGTACTCCAGGTGAGATCTCATCAGAGCAGAGTAGAGGGGCAGAATCCCCTCCCTCGACCTGCTGGCCACGCTTCTTTTGAATGCAACCCAGGATATGGTTGGCCTTCTGGGCTGCAAGCACACATTGCCGGCTCATGTCCAGCTTTTCATCCACCAGTACCCCCAAGTCCTCCGCAGGGCTGCTCTCAATCTCTTCATCTCCCAACCTGTATGGATATCGGGGGTTGCCCCATCCCAGGTGCAGGACCTTGCACTTGGCCTTGTTGAGCCTCATGAGGCTGACACAGGCCCACCTCTCCAGCTTGTCCAGGTCCCTCTGGATGACATCTCGTCCTCCTGGTGTGTCAACGGCACCACTCAGCTTGGTGTCGTCTGCAAACTTGCTGAGGGTGCACTCGATCCCACTGTCTATGTCATTGATGAAGATGTTAAATAGCACCGGTCCCACTACAGACCCCTGAGGGACTCCACTTGTCACCTGCAATCTTTCTTTCCTGCTTATCTCACAGTGAGAAAAGAAAGAAAGTGAACTTTCCTCAGCTCTCACACTGAACTGAGAATTTTCACTGTGAGAGTTAGAGTAGAAGAAGAAGATTTAGAGCCGAGTCTTCAATGCAAGATTTTAATTTCTGCCGAGTCAGCAAAATCCCTTGTAAAACCAGTGCCACTTAGCTGTTTACAGGCTAAAGGAGTTGATGAATTTAACATATATTATTTTCCTTTCTTATGCAATCTGTATTAGATTAAAAAAAAGTTGTTGAGGCTCAAATCTGACATTTATGTTTTGTTTTCCTCATCTTCAGTATTGAAGTCATCTTGGTAGAATAATTCTTATTTTTTGCTCCTTGCTCATGGGCAAACTTTTGTGATCTGTCTGGTCACCTCCAGTAAGAGTACTAATAAAAGGCTGGTGTTTGTTTCCAATATATGTCTTACAAAGTTGTGAAAATGTAGTCATAAGAACATATTTGTTTTGTAAAGATAAGAACAATTTGTATTGTAAGCATGGTATAGTGCTTTTCTGGCAGCACTAGTAAAGTATTGCCACAAGAGGGGGACTTAATGCTTTTGATTTGCAGGAAATTGTTTCCTGGGAATGTAACACTGACTTGCAGGATGAACATGGTCATTTTATTGCTGGTATTGAAGTTGATTTCTTTTAGATTATAAACTTGTCATAATGAGGTCCTAATTCTGCAGCTGTATGCACATGTGCTTAGTTATAAGCACATGGAGGGTTCTGCTGACACCAGTGGACTTCACTTGGTTTAGCTTATAAATCAGGCATATTACAAGCTGGGCTTTTGATTTTGCTTTCTCAAATGGAGCTTAACTTTGAAAGGGAAGGAAAGAAAGAAACTTCCTGTATTACCTGTACTATCAGCCTCAAACCACTCAATGAGAGAACTGCAATCCGTTTGGATTAACTTCTGCTCTGTGTTGAGGTGACATATGATTTTTTTTTTCCACAAATACCAGTGGGAACTTTGCTTTACTTTCATTTTAATCAGTTAGCTTGTAAAATTCTAGCTTGTCAATTCCCAGTTTTAGCTAGAGTCATGAGATAATCTATTCCTTGCCCTTAAAAGTTGCCTTTCTTTTTAAGTTGTCAAAACTTACTGTTGGATTACTTTATCAAAATGCTTTGATTTGCAAGAGAAAGCTGAAGTTTTGAAGTTCACAAGCGGTAAATTGAATTTTCATTCAAGCGTGAAACTGCAAAAGGTTGCCAATTTGCAATGCAGTAGAATTCCCCAGTGAGGAATTTTCATTCCCACCATGCAGGAGGGAGAAGTATTTCTTCAGGAAATCAGTACCAGGAGAAGTATTTCTTCATGAATTTTTTGAGAACATATTTGCTGCTCTTGAACATCTCTTTTCTCTTGGTCTGTGACCAGTATAGTGCAATGTAGTTTCCCCCCGGAAAGTCATTATTAAAGTCTATGCATTAGTGTTTAAATTGGCTTATTCTTGGCAGTTTGTCGTCTTTCAGTGAGGAAGCCAGACTGGTCTTACTAAATTTCCTGTAGCATGATCTTTTTTCCTCCCTCCTGTTCCCATCACCACTGGCTGACTTTTAGTCTTAACAATCTAAAATATTTCCGGAAACTTCATGTGAGGTGGATGCATCTGCTGTTTGCTTGATGTTGTTTTATTTTTAACCTCTGTGCAAGGTAACAGATCCTGGAAGCAAGAACCCTTTAGAAACCCGTTTAAACATGGAATTTCTTGCTGTGTTTATGGTATTGTCTTTCCTGAACATAGCTCAGGATTTTTTGTTAATTTGTGTGGTTTTTGTTTGTTTTTTGGTTTTGTCTTTAAAGATTCCTAACATTGCAAAGAAGCTTGAAGATTTTAAGAAGGATGTGGAAGCTAAGAAGAAACCTCCCAGCGACAAGTCCTAAGAGAGCAATGTTACCCAGGTCACCTCTGTGCATGCATCAAGGATGCAATTTACCTTTCGGGCAACAAAGATCAAGTATAGGGTTGGCATTGGAGGTTCCTCCACTTTTAGTCTCGTAGAACTGGAATGTCCCTCTTTTGAAAGAGCAGCTGTGAATTTTTCCTGGGACTGATTTTCAAGGGTTTCAGAATTTGGATTTGCAGCTGATGTGTGACTGGATAAGATTGTATTTTTCGTTATTGCTTTTCCTAATATTTTGTAACCCATTTTTACCTGATCCAAATGGAGTCCTATTAGTCCTGTTACTATGCGTACCTCACACTTTGTTATACCCTAGGTCTTAGAACATTGCAAAAGAAATTAAATGTATGAAGAAGTAACTTTCAGGGTTTCTTGTCATTTGTTGTGAGCAGTGGTACTTCACTGTCCTTAAGATCTGCATTCCATTATTGGAGATGGGAAGGTTCATTTGTTAAACTATGAACCTGGAGGGCAGGGGAGAGCTCCTGCTTTTGCCATTATGTTAAATGATCACTTCCAGCACCATAGACTTTGCACAAACATGGCTGATTTCAAAAAGTGTAAAAGGCCATCAACTTTAACCTGTGTTTCAAATTCATTGTTTCTTCTATTATTACCTCTTCCTCTTCTTTCCCTTCTGCCTGGTTGCTTGAGGATGTCTCTGGAGTGATGGGGAGGATGGGAGAGAGAAGAGTTATCTTCTGTAAGTGGTAATAGGGGCACGTGGAGGTCAGCAGTTATGTTGCGAATCCAAATGGTTCACTCTATGTACTTAATGGTCCAGTTTGTGTAATTGGTCTAAGTATGCTTTTTTTTTTTTTTTTACTGCCTCTTGGTGTAGAACAAGGACTAGAGCTCAGTATTTCTATCAAATGTGTCTGGTGTTCCCATTACTTCCTCATTTCTGTACATGGTCTTCAGTCCATTGCCTTTGCATTTGGTTCAGTTGTCTACCATGTATTTTCATAGGATTAGAACCATTTATCTGCCATCTCCTTTATAGTTTGTCTGGTATGCTCCTCTGCACCCATTGCTGCCACTAAAAACCCTGGTGTGTGAGAAAATACACACTGTAACTGTCCTCTTCTGTTTGAACGGAAAGCAAAGGCTGCATTTGGAAACCATAGTTTTGCACAAATTCTGTTGTAAATTCTGAAGAAAATATTGCAGTAATTTGAATAGATGTAAGCTTTCTTCATTCAACAAACTATCAAATATTTTTTTTTTTTTCTGTAAAATAGAAGAGTCCTATCAACTCTGTAAGGTGACTTAAATCACTGAGCCCCCTTGACAGTCTTTTGCAGGATGTGAAGGACAAAGAAAAGTACCAGAAAGATATTCTCCTTGCTTTTATTAACAATGCCTGGTGACGGACTGCTATGGACAAGTAGGAGGAACAAGCACAGAGAATTACCTCCTTCACTCTTTCAGGCATACCTACAGTGCTTCTCCATTAGTGTTTTAGTTAGGATAAGGATTGTGCCTTCAAAGCAAATTGTCTTTTTACCATGTTTTCATTCTCATCATGGAAAAACTGTAGAGTACATGGACTGGATTCTTTTCAGAAGAGACTAAACCAGAAGATGTGCTTTGATCTCTAATGGGTGTTTAGTCCATGAGACAGGCCTAGAGACATTCAGAGGGAAAATATCCTAAGCTTTGGGCACTAACTGTTTTGCTCTGTAGACCCAGTGAACTGCACTGAGATAAACATTGCATGAAAGTCTTTAAGTACAGGACTCCCCATGTACCTACTGTAATTTTTACCCTCTACCCCAAAACCTTTAACTCGGACATATCTGGGTAGATTCCAAGCTCAGGAGTTTTCACTGTATCAGCAAAGACACATTTACAGATTAACTCACGCCAAACTTCCACTTCCTTTTCCAAAGTTCAGTGATGGCAGAGTTCTTCCACAATGTGTCCTCCAATTGAGTAAAGTATTTCTCATCTAAAGATTCTCCTTCTTAAAGAATATATATATATATATACACGAGAAATATTTCACCTGTAATTTCCCATCCTTCCTTTCACCATCTGCCCTGAAATGTGTAGCTGACATAAGAGCTTTTGGTCTTTGGTAATAAATATTTGACAAGTTTAAAAGCCACTTCAAGTCAGCCAGTCTTAGTAGCTATGCTACCAACTCTTCCTATAGTAAACACTCAAAAAACACAAACAGGGCAAAATAATTTTGACCACCTAACATTAGTTATCAGAAACCTTATGGTAGCAGTATGCGTTGAAGATGCCAAGAATGTGCTTGGTGAAGGAAGCTCATAAATAAAGTAGAATCACAGAATCATTTAGGTTGGAAAAGACCTTTAAGATCAAGTCCAACCATTAACCTAACACTACCAAGTCCACCACTAAACCAATTAACGTAGAGTAATAATTAATTTCATGTTTCCTGGCTTGGTGGCTGGATCCTTTATAATGAAAGTAAAAACTAGGAATCATTAAGGTTGGAAAGGACTTTAAGATCATCAGGCCAACTGTCAACCCACCACCACCATGCCTACTAAACCATGTCCCAAATTGCCACGGCTACACATTTTTTTGAACACCTCCAGGGATAGTGACTCCACCACCTCTCTGGGCAGCCTAGTACAGCCATGTTTAGCTATTACTGAAGTAGCAGTGTATGCTCTGGTCTTTGAAAGGGGTTTCCATTGGCTTGCACAGACTTCAGACCACACTTGAAGGAACTGTCTTCCACACACAAAAACTTTTCCATAGAGTGAGACAGCACTGCACAGCTGTTTTAATGCTTTTATCAAAGTGATGAACTTAGTTTCCCCCAGCTTCCCTTTGGGTTTCCCTCCCTTCCCCCGCCCCGTTCTTTCTTTCCTATTCTTGAGTAGAGTATTGAAAAATACTGGCTCTAACCCAGTCATATTTCTTTGCTTGTCATATAAAATTATGTTAGTGTTTAAAATTGGATTCTTTCTTTCCTCAAACATGCTTTATGTTCTTCCCTTTCTTTACACAAAGATGAGGAGGGAAATAATATTCGAAATCTCTGTCTTTATTGCCAGACAGACCTGTGTTACTCTAAAAGTGTAATTTGGAGCTGAAACTTTCAGATGAGCATTCGAAGTAGATGTTAGGATTTTTTTTTTCCTATTACATTGTGAAGTGAACCAGCCACAGCTGTGGTGTTGTAGAAACAATATATGCTCATTAATATTAAAGACAGGACTTCTTAAGTGTTTCACACTGTTTGTAACACTTTCCATTTTAGCTCAAGCTGTCTTTATTGTCCCACATAGTAAGCTGGAGAGCTGGATAACATTATAACATGGTTCTTGTCAACTTTGCAACTACTGTATAATACATTTTGCCTAACTGATTCAGCCTGAGGCTATCCTAGATGATACTAAAGGTTAACCTTATGTTTCAGAGGGCAGAAAGTCCACACAGATAACGACTGCTTGATGCAGAACTTGCATCTAATGGCTCAGAGAAACTTTGGGTGCAGTGGTGTCATAGCAGGTCACAAAAGATGAATGCACCTTCAAGATACCTAGGGGCAAGTTTCCCACTTAACGTGGGTACTGTGAATTTCTGCACGTTCAAAATGCCTATGTGGAGAGCTGGAATTGCCAACTAAAATATGCAGTCTTCCTTCCTCTCTTAGCAGCTTTTAGGATAAATGCAATTGTATCCATTTTCATGTACTGATTCTTTTGAGACATGTCCCAGGGGCTGAAGGTTCGAGGCAAAAGGGGAGGAAAAGAATATATAAGCTACTAACAGACTTCTAAAATATTTACTGTGGATTGAGACTGTTATCTGGTGATGGAAAATGCTGCCCTAATGCTCTTGTAGAGACCATCTTCCACTGAATACAGTAAAGAGTTAATACTGAAAATATATGAAATGCCAGACAACAAAGCTAATTATTAGCTTACTGGGCACCAGAGGTCAAATAAAGATAGTGGATTAAGTCACAGAATTTCACTAACATGAATGCTCAGTGGTGCCATTTTATGTCATAGAACCACAGCCGCTTGTCTCATGATGTGTGCTCCACCCCTTGATGTTTGTGGCCCTTGGGTAAGACTCGCTCCAGTAAGCCCATGTGCCTCTTGTACTGGGGAACTCAGAAATGGACCTACCAGTTCAGATGTGTTTCACCAGGGCTAAGAAGAGGGGCAGGATCATCTGCTCCCTCAACCTGTGGAGGATGATCTGCCTAATGCAGCTCAGGGTGCTGTTGGCCGCCTTTGCCTCAAGGGCACATTGCTGACTCATGTTCAACGTGTCTACCAGGACCTCCAGGTCCTTTTCTATAAAGCTGCTTTCCAGTCAGTCAGCTCCAGCTTGTACTGGTGTGTGGGATTATTCCTTCCCAAATACAGGACTTTGCATCTCCCTTTGTTGAACTTCATGAGATTTGTGTCGGTCCATTTCTCTGGCCTTTGAAGGTCCTTCTGAATGACAGCACAGCCATCTTGTGCATCAACCACTCCTCCCAATTTTGTCAAGGGTGCACACTGTTCTATTGTCCAGGCCATTAATAAATATGCCAGTGTTCAATAATTCAATACTGGGCCTGGTGTTTTCCCCTGGGGTACACCACTAGAGATTGGCCTCCAACTGGACTTTGTGGTGCTGATCAGAACCCTGTAAGCCCAGCACTTCAGCCAGTTTTTGATCCACTTTACCGTTCACTTATCTAGTCCATGCTTCCTCAATTTGTCTGTGAGGTTGTAGTGCAAGGCCATGTCAAAAGCCTTGCCAAACAACATACCCTGCTCTCCCCTCATCCACCAAGCTACTCATTATGTTGTACAAGTGTCAGGCTGGTCAGGCATCATTTCCCCTTCATTAATTCATGCTGATTACTCCCAATCACTTTCTTGTCCTTCATATATTTGGACACAGCTTCCAGGAGGATTTGCTCCATTGCCTTACCAAGGATTCACGTGTGACTGATCAGCCTGTAGTTCCTCAAATCTTCCTTCTTGAAGACAGGAGCAACATTTGCTTTCTTCCAGTCCTCAGGGGCCTCCCTGCATCACCATAACCTTTCAAAGACAATAGACAGTGGCCTCACAATGACATGGCCAGCTCCCTTACCATTGCTTTAGATTTCCTTTTGCAGCTGGTGTGCCTATAGAGGCCCCTGGCTCCTGATTTTTTAACAAGAAGGGCCTCTATAGGCCTCCCAGGTGAGGCTGGCCAGGGCCAGTAAGGTACTCAGGGCCCTGGCACTGGCTTACCTAACCCTATCCGAGTCAGTTAAATCACTAGTACCTCCAGCCACCTTCTGTAAAAATAGGTTATACTGCAGAGGAATTACTCAAGGACAGGGAAAAGTTTAATGAAGCCAACTCTTTTTCTTTATGTTTTTACATTAGGTAGCATCATCTACACCAGAAACTTTTATTATGAATTCAGCTAAAGATATGTGACTCCTGTTAATGTAGAGTATTACTCTTCACAGTGATTTCTGATGAATAAAGTAACATAGTGGTGATCTGGCAGCACAGGACATTTCTCAGTGGTGATGCTGTGGGGAGTTGTGGTATCACTCAAAAAATTTATTGCCTTTGTGAAGGCAGAATTTTTCCACTGTGGTTCTCCTTCGTGGTTCACCTTTGTCCTGTGGTGCTGGCAGCTGTGTGCACCACCAGCTGTTACGACTCCTCTATGCATGCTTTCTTGGAGACATTTGTTATACATGCTGAGCGTCTGGAAATGTGCTTTGAAGGGCCCAGACTACTGTTGGCCCAGATTACAGATAGCCATTAGATTACTGGTGAAATTGAAATGTTGCAAAGGAAGAAATTGGAATTTTCAAAATTAATAAGGAGTTGGTTTCATAAGCCTAGATTATATCTGCGTTTGCAGAAACATGATTGTGAATTTGTATTCATATGTAAAAGTAAATATCTGCTGCATGTGATGCAGAATTATTTTGAATATTAGGAAGTGATGGTGGATATTGGAGTGCTTATGTTACTGGTAAACTCCATAGAGAAATTTCCTGTTCAGCTCTTCTTGCTTCAGGGAGACAAGAAACGGATACTTGGTTCTATTTGTTACACATCTCAGTGCTATATGCTAACCTTTACTTTACAAAGTCCTAAGCCAAGGCAATTTTTAATTAATTTGTACTGAGATAAAATAGCTGTGGAGGTTATTTTTTTTTTCACCTGAAACATATGTTAATCACAGATGGTCAAATTTACTTTCTTCCCACCAGAGTTGATTCTGGCTTTAGTCTTTAAGACATCTGGAAAATACTTAAATACCCCATTCCTGTAAATCACCAACTCAGACCTTAACTTCACTAGTAACTTTCCTACCCTGTGAGCCTAAATGCTGGAGTGGAACACACTGTGTGAAAACAGGGGTTCTGCAACCTTTCATCACACTGATTAGAGCCCTTCTCTGACAACTGCACTTTTGGGTTCAAAGATGTAACCCAAATCATAAGATACTAATCAATGTTTGAAGAGAAATATAAGGGCCAATGTATGAAAAAAAATATGTAAGGGTTAAATTCTATTATTCACACTTTCTGCAAACCAGAGAGAATTGAACAACCTGTGTCAAGTATTAAGTACAGCTATCATGCTCTGCTTTTTTTCCTGAGAAATAAAACATTACTCTATCAGCTGCAGAATGAAGAATTGCTCAGTATAAATCATCTGTTTACTTCAGTGAAATTGTTCAGGTTTTATATTACTGTGAAAAAAAAATATATGCAGTCTTAATAGGATTCTAGTAAAAGGTAATAAAAAACTGTAAGATAAAATAGTATACTGCTACTAGTTAATGTGATTATACTTTTTGGATAGGAATCTTAAATTCTGGGCTGAAAGGAGAACTTTTGTTTTTAGGACTTGATGTATGTGCTGAATGTTGAAAGCATCTGGAAATCACTTAATTTGAAATCAAGCTTATCTCCCCTCTGAAGAAAGACTTCAGCTTTCGTTATTGGTAGAGACAAATCTGAAGTTGAGTGACAGTATGCTATAAATTACCAGTGAAAACTTACCACTTCTTTGTCCACTTGACATTTATTTTGATTAAAAAAAAAAGGCAGCAATCAGCACCCATTGCTGTCACACTGTGAGCCATGCATCTTGCCCAACCCTAAGCTTGTTGTTCATCTGCTGCTGTTTTCCTTTGTGATATTCAGATTCTTGCCACTAAATACTCTCTCATGTACTTTCTTATATCTTCAATGAAATGAAAGGAATCGTACGTGTATGTCTAAGGGCAGAATCTGGCTGTGGTGCATACACTGACTGATCTGATCTGGAGAGGGGGCCAATACAAGCACACTGCCTTCCTGCAAATGCCAGGTGGGACATGGCAGTGACAAGTGCCAGCAGCTGTGGACGTGCAAGTTTGCTGAGAACAGCAATACAGAAGGGAAGGCTGCTGGGAAAACTTTTTGCCTGAGTCCACTCCAAATTTCTCTGCACCAATCTCGTGAGACACAAACTATGCCAGAGACTCATGGAAATGTTTCTGAAAAAATATTGCTAGAGAAGTGCAACACAGCGCCAAGCAATTTCTATTTACCTAGTGCTATTGGTGGCCACCCTATTTGATTTGTGAGTAATCCTAGATCTCCCTAAAGCTGATTGGCATGCCAGCTGCTCGTCTCTCTTGCAAATGAGAATATCCCATGTTCATATCCCCTGGGAAAGGGGTGGGATAGCAAGGCCTGATGGGAGCTGAGCTGAGCCGAGCCGAGCCGAGAAATAAGTATTAGGAGTGTGGAGAGTGATTTGTTGCTGAGCAGCTAGGCAATTTGAAGATGGTGGTGGATGAAGCGTGAAGTGAAAAGGATTAGACGATGAGTGCACAGTGAAAGGCGCAGAACGACTAAAGCTTTGGGAAGAGAGCAAGGCAGAAAGAGAGTTTCTTGGCAGGGGGAGAATGATAGAAAGTAACTTTGGGGACTGTGAACAGAGATGTCCTGCTTGTTGAGCATGGTGACAGGACCCTTGGTACTGCAGACACCCCCACCCACTGAAGTGCTTGTTCCTGGAGAAAATTGCCCATGTTGGTGGACAGGTATTGCAGCCTCTCCCTCCTGCTTCAGTGGCTTTGGTGCTGGGTGCATCTTGCTGGGCGACTGCAGCTTGTGCCGGCAGGGAGGCTGGGGTGCCTCTGCTTTGAGCATCATGTCGGGGGCTGTGCCCCACAGCAGCTACTTGCTGGGGGGCAGGAAGACACCCGGGGAGGGGAGCCAGAGTGGTATGGAGGATCTGGATCCCAGAGGCAGCCGTGAATTTTGTACACTGGGGTGCAGCAGAGCAGCAAGTTCAGGATAGGGGGAACACAGGAATTGGGAAGGCGAGAAGCATTGAAAAAGCGAGGCTGAGATATTTTGTGGATTAGGAGGGCATGGGGATGCACTGAGCCATTGATTCACAGAAACACTTTGTTTTTCAAAACCAAATTTACAGGAAGTACTGTGAATAGAAATTGTTTTGCTAAAGGATGCTGCCTCCTGGTTTTGGTACAAGGGCTAAAATGTGCTTTTGTGATTTGTCCATTTTGCTTCCCCTCTGCCAGCCTATGACCTCTTACTGTCTCTGTTCATTTCCAAGACAAGTCTGTGGGATCCCTCTGTGTTAGTAGAAGCAGTAAACCAACACCTCCTGCTGTCTCAACACAACCCAGCAAGCCCTTAGGGAAGTAATGAGGTGAAATATATCCTATTTATATTCTCACAGAGCACCAGAATATGCAGTAGTGAGTAATTTATTTTATTGACATTTTATTTATGCAGAATAGGCATTCACACTAAGATCTAGAGAGCCGAGATTATAAGTGGGAAACATAAAAATTCATTGAAGTATATCTATAAAGAGTGTGATTACATGAGGTCCAATCATCCTAATATACAGCTTAAATGCATTGACATTAAAGAAATTATTAAAACCGGGACATAATACAAGAGGTTTATTGAGTATCACAGGGATTGAGTCACAAAAGCAGGGCATTCACTTTGTAGATGATAAAGACATTGGCCTTTTGATTTGGTAGTTAGCCGCTCTGTGTCACAGTTTCCTGCATTTGAAGTTCCTGTTCTCTGGGCTGCTAGAGAACAGGTGGGTGTGATGTTCAAGTGAATGCGCACGATGAGGATATACACCAGCACCATTTCACTTCAGCCCTCTCCCTTCTTACTCATGGAACAGCACTGAGTGCCATCTTGGATGAGATTGTACTTTCTCTGTCAGGGGAATTGAACTGTGTAACTATGTAAACAGCAGCCAAAGAGATTGGAGAGCAATGGGTCTGTTGGCCTGGTAAGGTTTTGCTGGTCACAGCTTCCCCTGCTGAAAAAGCTTCCACTGCAGTACAACGATACGGGAAGAAGGTATTGACCAAAATTTTCTATCTGTTTCTGAAGCTCTTCCTTCCAAAGCAGAGACTGCAAGTACTGCAATGTCGGAAACTTTATACTTGTGCTGTGGAAAAAAACCCCAACATTCTCCTTCCCAGGAGACTGCTCCTTCCTATCTGTTTGGTGGTTTCTATTATCCCTTTGAAGTGCTGTAACTAGTAGTTGGTCGCTGTATTTCTTTCCAGGCCATATGCATTAACTGGGAAGGTGTTTTTTTCCAACACAGTGATGACTCACCTCAAAAGAAAAATAATGATTTGCCTTTAAAAGAAGTAGGCTTATAAAACTCTAGGTTTGGGAATAAGACTCACTCTTCATTCACCATAGGAGTCAATGGTAGGATTGAACATTCTACTACTGAGTACACCAGTGTATGTCTACTTGTCTTCTTCATTGGAGTCCTATATCCCCTCTTTTACAGGTCCTGCGTAATTGTTCCAGGGCATGAAAAAGCTATAGGCACAGAATTTGGAAGGAGAGGGTTTTTTCAGTTATGGTATCACAGGGAAAGCAACAATAGAGCAAAGCTAATCTCTCCTTTTAACTCACACTGATTTTCAGAACTGAAAAGCTTTTGCAGAAGACCTCCCTGTGGATTTTCTTCATGGGTTGCTATGGATCCTGGTTCTATGTATACACAAGTTTTCTCCTTTCCTTCATATGGGCAATGTAGGTTTAATATTTTGTCCCAACTCACTTTGGTCTTGCACTTTCTTCTTTTTTTTCTTTTTTTTCATTGGTGATTATGTTTGGCTAGTGACGTTGCTGACCGCTGCCCATTCTGGAAAAGTATTCAGCTGGAAAAGTCTAATTCCCCAAGTGTTGATTGCCACCATGACAACAGCCAGGCCAATCAGATTTACACCCAGGCCAGCTTTCACCTACAAAAGCAAAATGCATCAGAGCACAATCACTCACAACTTGATTAAAAACAGTTAACATAGAAAAAAGAAGGCAGTAGGGTGTGTGTATGTTTGTATGTATAGTGGCTTATATATAGTGTGATAAATTATGTGTACTGATTTCTAGAGCCAAAAAAAGCACAGTGAGTAGTATGTATCAGAGCGTACATTGTGGGAGTATTCAGGAGTGATAGTCAGAGGTTGATGCAGCTCATTGGAAAACTGCTCAGTTTGTCACTTGAACTTCTCAATCAGATAATCATAATGGGGTGTTTTACCACACATAGCAGGATGATAACTACATGACTTACTGTGGAGCTATGTGATAAATCTAATTTCTCATGCTCTCCTGTGCTTGTCTTAACAGGTCAATGCAAAGGATTGTGTACTCCTGTTCTTTGATACCTCTTTAGACTGCTACATTCATGAAAAAATAAAGATGAGAACAGTGCGTATCCTCCAGCAGATGTGTAAATGTTCTTAACCTGACAGCTCAGTCACATAATGACAGTGCAGATCAATATGACTTTATATTAGCACCAGTATCATCATTACTATTATTATTGGCTGCTGGATGTGATCAGGACAAAGTGTTGAGGTTGCATGAAGCATGGGAAGGACATACCCAATCTCAGGACTCACCATATCTTTAATTTGGCAGTGGCCATAACTGAAGACAATGGCATTTGGAGGATTACCTACTGGCAGCATCACCGCAAATGAGATACACATGGTGACAGGTATCAGGGTGTATAAAGGGTTGATAAGCAGGGTTTCTGACTGGAAGGAGAGAGGAGGAGAGAAATTTCACTTAGCCAATAAAAGCCACGGCTCATAATTAGGATGAAAAGACCCTCTCTGCTTTACATGAAGAAAACAAGATTATGTGACTCTCACCTCCCTAGTTTCTAACCCTAAGCATGGTAGTCTTTTTTGTTTGTTTTTTTAGAGTAGGGTAGTGCTATAATTTGGAGCTGGTCGTGCTCCAGGGATTTCTCTTGAGCCATTTCACACTGGGTGAGGGTAGAGCTTGCTACTATTAGTCCTTCTTCAGTCTTTCCTCACACTTGTTCTCCGTGCCATTCTGTGTTGTGTCTTCCGGACCTTAATAGTGACTGCCACTTCAGTCTTCATCCAAGAGAAGTCACAACAGGTTGGCGTGAAGAACTTACTTCCTTCAGTTGCTGAAGGTACTGAGACCATTATGTAAAGTCCTCCTGAATGGTGGTTAAGAAAACTAGATGTTCATGGCCCAAACTCGCGTGGCACGAAGGCAGTAATGATGGAAAATTCTTTACAGTCGTCTAAAGAATTGTTCTTCCACTGCAGCCTGCGGTGGTGGTGAAATTTTGCATTTCTGTTTACATTGCTATGGCCTAGTTTTATGTCAGAGGGAAAGGGAAGGCTATTGACAAAGCTAACTTCATTTTGGAGAGGGAAGTGTTTCCAGGTTACTTTTGCAGTCAAAACAGAGAGACTGTCTTAAGATGGTAGTTCAGACTACTAAAAGTAGATTGCTGCTCTAAATTTCTCTTTAGGAGAGTCTCTTTCTGCATGGAACAGAGGTAAGTTTGAACTTATGAGCCATACAAACATAATTACTTATTTTCATCTGGCTATATCTTCATATTATCTCAGAGCTGTTCACATAATGTACTTTGGGACAATCCCATAAAATTGTTATAATAGGGAAACATGACCTGCATTCTGTTTCACATTACATAAAAGAAAAGAAGACAGACAGTTTTCTGTAGCTGCTATTCCAATATAGAATGAAATTTGTATCTCTTTCCTCTGCCTTTGTCACCAGTCTCCTGATTTTTTTCTGTCGCTTACAAGCATCTCTGCTTTCCATGTTGGATGATAGAATGCTTACCAGATCATCCTCTTGAACACATTTAAATCTGATAAAAAATTCACTACTACAGTCTTTTCTTACAAGTAGTGAGTGGGTGACTGCTAACTAATGAACAACACATTTAAAATAACATTAATAAGAGTATCTCAAGCTTTATGTGGACTTCACTTATCTTGTTGATTGCATCATCACCTTTTCTTGTACTTCAATTATGCATCCCTCAGCACAGGTGCTATGTTTTCACTTTGTCTGGGAAGTATTGAATAAATTTCTCAGTGCTAAAATATGCTTTTGGCTGCCCAAATTTACTGTTTTTCCTAAGCCCAAGACTGCAGAGCTGTAGCTTGGGAACCAAGGCTGGGTTTCGTGTGAACAGAGTGCCAATACCCTGATGTCCTGAAACATTCCCATGAGCCTGCCAGGAAACAACACACTAAAAACGTCATTGTTTTTACTCACCATGCTGCATAAAATAGGCAAAAAGATGGTTATGGTTGCTGGATTACTAACAAACTCTGTTACCAGGGACACCAAAATGCAGGCCAGCAGAGTTACAGCCCAGTAGGGAAGGCTGCTCAGGGAGAGCATTTGGCGTCCAATCCATGTAGAGAGGCCAGAGGTCTGGGGAAAGGACAGAAGCACAAGAATTACTAAATACTTAGTATGTTTGTAAAACAGACTCTTCTCTTTGGGGCAGTTTGCGTAAGAGAATCCCACCAGCAAATGAAGTTTAGGTCAATGTTTTCTGCATTTATTTTTGTTCAGTAAACTGGATTTCACTGCAGTGCCTGATAAATAGTTGTCCCTAGTAACAAAGAGATACATTTGACAGTTAATAATATTAAAAAGGCACCAAGGCCGATCTTCCCTCTTTCTTCAGCATGTGAACCGGAGTATTGCAAATTGGTGATGAAGGATTGCACAGTCTGGGTAGAATTAATTTTGAGATTAAAATACACAAATTTAGTTGTCTACATGTAGGAGTCTATAGGAGAGCTAGGTGTGTATTCATGAATTACACTGAGTGTAGATATAGTCAGTAGAGCCTGGAGTATGATTTGTCCAGTCAGCGCTAGGAGGTTGACACAGTTGCCTAAAGAGGAGCATCTAGTGACAGATGATATGTTCTCCCTCTGTCTGGTTAGCTGCTAGTTGAGAAGGTGTGAGGTCTCGCTCAGATCCGGTGTCATGTCTGCCACCCCTGTAGGAATATCTGGATACTCTAAAGCATCTGAAATGGCAGATGCTTACGCAACTGACTTGAGCCCTGACCATCTTTTTGTTAGCTTCATAGCTGTCCATTGAGTGCAGGGAGTAGGGACTAGGTTATGTACAAACTTGAAAGTATCCACATTGTAAATCAAACCAAAGGGATAAAAGTCCAGGTTTATAATTTTTTTTTTTAAGAAGGAGGATAAAAATCTAAATCAGTACCTTGCATCCAGCGGCTAAGGCATAACCTCCTCCAACCAACACTACAATCTCCCAGGGCATGGTCTTCTGGAAGTCCTTCCAGGTAATGATGGGATCCAGTGGGTTAATGTCTGTTGACTTTTCACCATCTCCTATATCAAAATAAAGCAAGTGCGTGACCAGTATTGCATTGGCCTTTTTGCATAGAACTTCACATTTTTCATACTAGTAGGAATAATGTAATATCCATGGGAGTTATCTTGAGAACTGTCTGTGAGAGAGAAGTGCGTAGCCTATTTCTCTGGTTAGCTCAGCCTCAGAAAATGCAGCATCTTAATTCCAAGTATCCTGACTTCCGTGGCTGCTCTGTTGATGTGGATAGTTGTAAACCCCTGTGTTTCATTCTATAGCTTTTTGAGGGATGGTGTTCTCTGTTGTGTATACCTATGTGCAAATTATCTGCAGACTACAAAGATGGAGTTACATTGGGATTATTTTCTCAAAGAAGAGCATTTTCTCTCTCCCGTAGGCCATGAAGCTTGGTAAAGTGCATTTATACCCCTAGGTTTTATCCAAGGACATTATTTTCTTTAGATGCCTGAGTATTTTCTTGAAGTAGGAGTTAGATAGTGTCATTTTTCCTAAATGCTGTTTAATATATGTCAATGTAAAAAATAAACTTAACTATATACATTTGTAATCTCTACATGAGGTTCTGTGCAGGCAATTCTGTTTTCATACAGGACTGCTGAAAGCCTGGCACAGCAAACTGATCAATACCACTGAGCGCTACCCAAACATGAATGTGAAATAACAATCATTATTATTATCAAGAAGACTGAGAGAGAAACATTGCGCAAAACTGGAACCTCATCTGACATTTACTGACCTCTTTTATGTTTATTTTATGACATTATCAATGATTTCTGCTGTATAAGTGATGACCAAATTATTTACTAGAGCTTATCTTCAGCCAATTTTGCAAACATCTGCATTATAATTCTCCATATGGAACTCCATCTGAACCTTTCCTAAAACTCAGTCCTAAATTTTGATAACTCTGATAACACAGAAGAGATGGTGGCTTCAGATACAAGATCTGTTTATAATCTGCTGGAGGAGACAATACGAATTAAAGCAACAAAAAAAAGGGGGTTGATGTAGGAAGGGCTGGTATCAGAGGAGAAACTGAACCCTGACCTTCCACAATAAAAATCTCTTCTTGGAACATTTTACAGAGAACAGAAAAATGTCAAAGGCATTGGAAAATGTGCCAGATCTCTTTCTTGCTGCATCCTCCTCACCTTTTTCCCTTTTTCCAAAACATGGCTTTTTTGCTGGAATCAGGAAAAGGAGAAAACCAAGAAATACAGAGACAGTGGCATCAGTCCGGTAACCTTTCCTAGAAAAGAAACAGTAGGGTTATCATAAAAACACACTAACAGAAACATTTCCAAACAAGGTACATGGCTCCAAGCAAATTGTTGCAGGTGAAATTGTATTTCCACATCTGAAGTGTTTCTAACAGCCCACTAGAAAAATATGACTGCATATCAAGGATACAAATGGATTTTTTTTCCCATTTATTAAACTTTCTCCTGTAGCCAATTTCAATCACTGCTCAATGATTTCTAACATTCCATTGAAAAAAATAAATCCCTTTTGGTTTACAAATCTATTAACTCAGAGGTACAGAGAAATAGTGTGTTTACTAGAAGGAAGAAACAGTAAACACATTCTGGGGAAAAACCAAACCCAAGAGATTCTTTAGAAATAAACTGTAGATTGATTTTAAATTAAATGTTTAAAACTCATTCTGAAAAACTATTTTGAGATGTGCCAAGCTCCAGAGATCCTCAGGAAATCCCAATATTAAAAATTGTTTTTCTGTCAAAATTAGGATGAAAAATTAAAATAATTTTATGTAGTAGAAACATAAAGAAAATTTAAGTTCAGATCACTTATTCTTTGACATGCATTGTGTGTTATAGTTAGTTTTAATATAATTTGTTTCAACATTATTTAAAATAAAAGAAAAATTATTTGCTTCAGTCACCATTCTGTGTAATATTTAATTGAAATGGACATTTTCTTGATAAAATTTATCTTCAGAAAAATACACTTTTTGTCAAAAAATATTATTTCAAAATGAAAAAACTGTAATTTGAATTATAGTTGCAATCTATTCCAGTGTCAGCTTCTCTATGAATGCACTAAAATGTTTTAACTTCAGAATCTGACCCTCCTATTTTTTTACATTTGAAATATGTTTATTTTACTTTCTCTTCTTAATTCACTCTGCTTACTGAGAAAGAATACAATTTGCCATCATGTGAACAGATGTAGTTTAAAAACCTTATTCTGGAGAAGAGGAGGCTGAGGGGAGACCTTATCGCTCCCTACAACTACCTGAAAGGAGGTTGTAGTGAGGTGGGTGTTGGTCTCTTCTCCCAAGTAGTTAGCGATAGGACAAGAGGAAATGGGCTCAAGCTGTGCCAGGGGAGGTTGAGGTTGGAAATTAGGAGAAATTTCTTCACGGAAAAGGTGGTCAAGCATTGGAACAGGCTGCCCAGAGAGGTGGTGGAGTCACCATCTCTGGAAGCGTTCAAAAAACAGGTAGATGTGGCACTTCGGGATATGGTTTAGTCTAGTCTACCCTTGATTGGTTTAGTGTGGACTTGGTAGTGTATTTTAATGGTTGGACTGGATGATCTTAAAGGTCTTTTCCAACCTAAACGATTCTATGATTCTAAGCAAAAATCCTAATTTTTCAATAAAGACTTCATGTTTCTCCACCTTGTTAAAAGTGGCTGATGATGTTTTAAGGCCAAAAATTATTGCAGAAAGTCAGAAGATGCAAGGCCATGTTCCTTTGGAGTTGTTTAGGGAATTTCACTTACTTCTCGAAAAAAGATGACCATCCTGGTACAAAGCCAGGCTCACGAGTAAACCAAAGCAAGGTCATCAGAATGAAGAAAAATCCAGTCACCATCTCAGGATAGCTAGAAATAAAAGCAAAAGAAAAAAGCTAGGAATTATATCCAAGGTCTGTCTGAAAACCTGAGAGCAAATTCCAGAAGAAGTAAGAACATAGAAATTGGTTCCAAAAGAAGGATAAAAAATATAAGGAAAATAGAAAGGAAGATTAGTTTGAATTAAAGAATTCTACATTTAGCTCCCAGCTGACAACCATCTAAACCCAGTAAAAAATGGGCTGAAAATATCTGTCTGTGTTTGCAATTCAATCATTCATGGGCAAAACCTGAAGGAAAACATTTATAAATGCTTGTATTGTATTTGCATTATTATCTAATTAAATGTGTTAACAAGCTAAAGCTCATGTTACTATTCCACAGTAAACACTTTCTATGGCATTTTTTAAAAGTGTAGAAAGTGTAAGAGCAAACGACAATGTACATTAGCACAGATATTTTAAACACATAGAATAAATATAAGGTGACTTGAGGATGCTGAGTTTTAATTTAGGATAGATTTAAGTATGGTTTCATATTTAGGCACAGTCTGAACAACATTCTAGATTCAGAGTTGATCGTATTCAGCAAGTTGATCTGTCAACATTTCAGCTGAACAACACAAAAGTGTTTTGAGATGAATGGATTTTATGAGGTGTCATCCCTTTTGAAAACTGATCTTGCAAAATAATATTTTCAAGAGACATTTCTTGCCACCATGAATAAAGATTATGGGCAATTGGGAGGGCTGGAAATCTCATGGCATGGGCTATTGCTGCAAAGCCTTTGCTAACAGTGAGCTTCTATCCACCAAAATAAGTATGTTCCTGAATTGGGAAGGGGGGTCCTTTAATGATTTAGTTCAAAGGTAGAGACAAACCTTGACTCAGTGACCTTTGGACCCTGGTATAAACCTGAATCTTTCCTTTTATTTCCTTTTTCTTTAGAAATAAATAAATGAGTAAATAAATACATGTTTGTAACAAAGTCTTTGATTTTAGTTCATTTTTGCATTTAGTTCTACTCCTATCCTGGAAAGGAGGAAAAGGAGGTGACAGTTTAATCTACATGAGCCAAAGGCAACAGGCAATATGAAAGGATGGTCCTGCCTAGAGAGGCAGATTCCTGAGGAAGGCAGGTCCATTTTACCTAACATTTCCCAGTTTCTTATATTCTTCTTGAATTCTTCTCTCTGACATTTCTTCCCGTTTGGTTTTCTTCTTCTTGCTCACAGAACAGGTCTCTTGAAAACTGAGGTAGATAGCACAGTAAAATTAGACAAGGGCATTGAGTGAAAAAAAAAGTCATTAAAAATAACAGCAATGAGGCAAACTGAAAATTCCAGTTGCCAGAGGCTGTCGGGAGAAGGCGTGACTGGGGCATGGCCTGATGGCAAGGGGAAGGGAAATTATAGCCTGTGATCTTTGCATAGTCTAGTTTCCAGATATTCTGAGGATCAATCGTAGACATGGTAGGAATGTCCTTGGGGTGCTCAGACTAATACTGATGGGTATCACTGAGCTGTCCTGAGCTGTTGCTGGGCTCCCTTTGTGTAGGTTTCCTCAAACAGCTGGCAGTGGCTAGATTTTCTGGTGCCATCAACCTCCAAAGGCTATGGCTAATTTCTATCATCACATGGAAAGACTGTGACAGAGGCCAGCTATCAATAGATGTTTTAAATGGGGGAACTGTGGGAAAGCTGTGCTGAGGATCCCAATACCTTTCACAACCTGTCTCCTACTAATACTAGCTGTTTCTAAACCAGGCACAATCAGTGTAACACCAAATTGCCTCTGCCACAGAGGCCAAGGCAATCAGCCTGGTGTTTTGTCTTGGTGCAAAATGCCTGTGATTCTGCCAGGGACATGCAAGCACAAGCACATTTCATAGCTGAATATATTTAAACCTGCTATATATTTGTATGAAAATTAGGTGAAGTTCTTAGTTTATTCAGATTGCCTTCATACTATAAGAAAGCCTGGGCATTCCTAATTGAAATTAAAATACTTGCAAGTTCACTTTAACCTTTTCCTTTTCTTCTTTTCAGTAGCATTACTTTGCTGTGCTTTTCTACTCCAGCTGTACTCTCTGTCACACAGAGGTGTGTGGGGTGGGTTGAGAAACGTCTGCAGCTAAGGCAGTCTTAAATAGGCTGCAGCAGCAGGGGCTTCAGTGACTGAAGTACCAATGGGAGCGCAATGGCCTGTTTTTATAGTTCCCGCTGCTTTAATATCTCCTTTGGTACCCTACTAGAGATCCATGCCATAGCACTGGCCGAGCCATGGACTACGATCTCCCTCCATGTATCTGGTTATGACCAGATTCTCAAAGGAATTTTCATAGCTCAGGATGCACGCAGGCCTTTCATTTCGCTTGTAAATGTGACACCTATGTGACACTTGGTTTTAGTGCACTTAGCACTGCCCTGCACCTATACATATTTAAATTTCCTTGCAAACCTTGCTGTCAGACTCCAGTAAAATCTACCAGCAGTAATTCAGCTGCTAGAAGAGAAGAGCTCTATGGTTTATAATGGCCAGTTCTATAGTAATGATTCTACCCTTAGCTCTGCTTTGCTGGCAAAAATTGTTTAGCGGGTCCATTATCCTTCCCTTTGACCTAGTCTAGAGCCTAAAAAGCAAGTCTGACATGTTGTTCCAACTGGGCCAAGTAAAAACAGACAGATAACACTGGGCTTCCTCAGAAAAGAACATTACGGGAATGCAGTAAACATTTATGCACAGGCATTAGTCAGCTGTTTCAACATGTTGTAAGTGTTTCTAGGCTTAGGAGAATGTGAAGGTAGAGTACTGTAGCCAAGCTCCTAACATAATATGTTCTTTAATGAACTGCATCAGAGATTAAGGAGGCTTGGAATCAACTAATACTTCTCAAAAAGTTGATAATGCTTCAGTTTCTGGCATTATTTAAAACAACGTTAATCAGCATGAGGTCTTGGATGCAATGTGGAATTCCAATTATATTTATTTTAAAAAAAAAAAAAAGAGGGTCATGTTAGGGCCTGTTTCCTCTCAAGATTAAAAAAAAAAAGACTTATTTTATCCTTTTAATTTGGAACTACAAGGCTCAGGAGACGGACTGAGAGAAGGACATGGAGCTATTCACCTCTAAATTACCTCCTCAAACTAGTCAAGGTCAACAGCAAGCAGAAGTCATGATTTTATTCATCAGCTTAGGTGAAATAAATTAGTGATGTCAGTTCAGCTTACTTTTAAGAGTAAACTAAATCAAATTAAGACCACTTTAATTCTGAGGAAATGTGCCTGCACCACAATTTAATGCAGATTAACAAATCCACTCTAAATGCACACATTTAGTCAATTTTCATTAACTTTGCTGAGTGCCTCTGCAAAGAGAATACGTGGTACAAATGAACTAGAAGACAGCCTTGTTCTCATTTTGGGGCTAAGGGACTAACTGGTATCCAAAGGTATTCATCTTTTAGGCTGTGAGTCCTTTCCATTTTAAAGAGAAATATATATGGAGTCTGTTTATTTTTAATTTTAACTGGTCTTACATTAATTTCATTGACCTGGAGGCAGATCTGAAAAGTGACTTTTTCACTTGCAGTTATTTTTCTATGCATCTTTTAAGCTGTACTTTTCCAAAAGGACTTCTAACAAGATTTTTGGTCCACAACGGGATCCTCATGGTCATGACAGTCAAAAAATCAGTTGAATGCTTCATAAGGATTCCCATCAGCAATACCTAGGCACTTCACTCTCAAGCAGCTATACTGTACGCTGCTGTCTATGCAGTGCAGCTAAGCAATAAGATTTCCTCCGGTAATTGTTCTGGCAAGAAGAAGGAAGTTGTGCCTTAGTTTTTGTCATTTGTAACTGGAAGCATCTTTATGAGACATGTTCTAGAGGAGCCACAGATGCCCTGCTTTCATAATCTATGCATCTTGAGCAACCTGCACTCACTTGCAACCTAAGAATAGCCAATGCATCCAGAACCAAGTCAGGACCAACATGATGAGGGAGATGGGGAAGCTGAACAAAAACCAGGTTCCAAAATTCACCACTTCAGCATTTGGGTAGTGGCTGTAAAGGAAAAAAAGGATGCACAGGAAATTAGAACAGTAAAAGGACAGGGACCTCCAATATGCATAGATGTACACACATATATATATGTGAAGTATACCATGGCAGCAGTGGCAGCCATAGATGATCAGAATCAGGTTTGAGCTTGGACACATATCTGTGCATGAGGAGAAGTACCACCAGTCTTCTGACAGAGGTAAATTCATGTCTTTTAGAGCCCTGGGCATATATGATAAATTAAATACTTAGCTGGTCGGAGAGCTGCTTCCCATCTTCTCTGAAGCAAAGGTGTAAGGCCACATTTCTAAGTTTATTTATTTTAAATAAATGCCAGGGTGTGGCATAGCAGTTTGCACGGGAGGACGTACAGGGAGGGCACCTCTTCGAAGGAGGAGCATTCCACTGGCCGAGTGGGAGACTTGAAGTACACATAGTCGAGCAACTGGGCACTGTTCTGTGACCATCTGCACAGGTCAAGGGCACTCATCCTACCTGACCCTCAAGGCAGAATGGTGGCGCTCATCTGAGAGCAGAGGCTGCAGCTCCAGCTGGGGGGATCTGCACCATGTACCCCAGTGGTGGCCAATGCCTCCACCCAGATGGAGCTGCTGAAGGCAGAGGCTGCATTGCAGACCTCAGACTGCAGGAAGTGCCTAGACTTTTCTCCTGGGGCAGGGACAGGCAGCAGACATGCCTGCAAAAGGTGTCCCCAGGTGGAGGACCTCCTGGTGGCTGAGCTGCAGGAGGTGGTGAGAAGGCTGCGTAACATCAGGGAGGCAGAGAAGGAGTTAGATAGCTGGTTCCAAGTGTAGTCTGCAGTGGACCCACAGCCCATGGCCAAACAGCCAAAAACTCCCACACTGGCGTACACAGAAGGGAGGGGGGCCAATAATGCAGAAGAAAGGATGGTTGCAATGCCAAGGACCAGCAGGAGGAAGATACTTACCCCAAAGCCTGAGGTGCCCTTGCAGAAATGCTTCACCGCTCTACAGACTGAAGAGGAAAGACCTGTCACACCAGGAGAAATGCTGGAGCTGAGTAAGGCAGCCCGATCTGCTCCTCATATAACAACCAGCACAACTAAGAAAAGGTGATGGGTGATAGCAGTAGACACCTCCCTTCTGAGAGGTGTGGGGACAGCCATTTGCCAACCTAATGAACTCTCTAGAGGGGTGTGCTGCATACCAAGGACTCATATCAGGGATGTCACTGAGAGAATACCAAGCCTCGTACATTCCACAGACTATTATCTGCTCCTGTTGTTTCACATGGGCACCACTGATCCAGCCAGGAGCAGTCTGAGGAGTATCAAGAATTACAGAGCCCTGGGAGCTGTGGTAAGAGGCTTTGGAGCACAGGCATTTTTTTCATCAGTCCTCCTGGTCGAAGTGAAGGGGTTTGAAAGGGCCAGTCAAATCTGGTGAATCAACATATGGTTACAAGACTGGTGCCACAGCCAGGTGTTCAGCTACTTAGACCATGGGATTTGCTTTGAGAAACCTGGTCTGCTAGGGGCTGATGGGGTCCATCTGTCATAGAAGGGGAAGAGCATCTTTGGTCATAGGCTTGCCAAGCTGGTGAAGAAGGCTTTAAACTAAAGTTGCCAGGGGAGAGGAACCTCAATCCATCCCACTCCTACCAGTTTGATGCCAGTGCCAGCAATAGATGCCCAGAGTCTGGAGAAGGAGCGCAGGTCAGCAGGAGAGCACCTGAAGAGCAGCACAAAGGAATTCCAGCTTCTATAGGTACGTCAGTCATAAAAGGAAGACCAGGGAAAATGTGGGCCCTCTCTGGAGGGAAAAGGGATACAGAGAAGGCTGAGGTACTCAACAACTTTTTTGCCTCAGTCTTCACCGGCAAGTGCTCAAGCCACACCGCCCAAGTCTCAGAAGGCAAAGGCAGGGACTGGGAGAGTAAAGGGCTGCCCACTGTAGGAGAAGATCAGGTTCAAGACCATCTAAGGAACCTGAAGTTGCACAAGTCCATGGGACCTGGTGAGATGAATTCACAGGTCCTGAGGGAACTGGCAGTTGAAGTTGCTAAGTCACTATCCATCATATTTGAGAAGTCATAGCAGTCCAGTGAAGTTCGTACTGACTGGAAAAGGGGAAACATAACCCCCGTTTTTAAAAATGGAAAAAAGGAAGACCAGGGGAACTACAGGCCAGTCAGTCTCACCTCTGTGCCCAGCAAAATGATGGAGCAGAACCTTCTGGAAACTATGCTAAGGCACATGGAAAATAAGGAGGCGATTCGTGACAGCCAACATGGCTTCACTAAGGGTGAATTGTGCCTGACAAATCTGGTGGCCTTCTACAACAGGGTTACACTGTTGGTGCATAAGGAAAGAGCAACTGACGTCGTCTACCTGGACTTGTGCAAAGCATTTGACACTGTCCCGCACAACATCCTTGTCTCTAAATTGGAGAGACATGGATTTGACAGATGGACCACTCAGTGGGTAAGGAATTGACTGGATGGTCACACTCAAAGAGTTGCAGTCAATGGCTTGATGTCTAAGTGGAGACTAGTGACAAGTGGTGTTCCTCAGGGGCTGGCATTGGGACCGGCGCTGTTTAACATCTTTGTTGGTGACACAGACAGTGGGATTGAGTGTACCCTCAGCAAGTTTGCTGAAGACACCAAGCTGAGTGGTGCCATCAACACACTGGAGGGAAGGGATGCCATCCAGAGGGACCTTAACAGGCTTGAGACATGGGCCCATGTGAACCTCATGAAGTTCAATAGGGTCAAGTGCAAGGTCCTGCACATGGCTCGGGGCAATCCCAAGCACAAATGCAGTCTGGGTGGAGAATTGTGGGTGTTGGTTGATGAGAAGCTTAACATGACCCAGCAATGTGTGCTTGCAGCCCAGAAAGCCAACTGTATCCTGGGCTGCATCAAAACAAGCGTGACCAGCAGGTCAAGGGAAGTGATTCTCTCCACTCTCATGAGACCCCGCCTGGAGTACTGTGTTCAGCTCTGGTGCCTCCAACATAAGAAGGACATGGACCTGTTGGAGAGAGTCCAGAGGAGGGCCATGAAGGTGATTGGAGGGCCATGAAGATGGTCAGAGGGCTGGAATACCTCTCCTATGTAGACAGGCTGAGAGAGTTGGGGTTGTTCAGCCTGGAGAAGAGAAGGCTCCAGGGAGACCTTATAGCAGCCTTCCAGTACCTGAAGGGGGCCTACAAGAAAGCTGGAGAAGGACTTTTTACAAGGGCATGTAGTGATAGGGCAAGGGGCAATGGTTTTAAACTGAAAGAGGGTAGATTTAGATTAGATATAAGGAAGAAATTCTTCACTGTGAGGGGTGATGAGGCACTGGAACAAGTTGCCCAGAGAAGTTGTGGATGCCCCATTCCTGGAAGTGTTCAAGGCCAGGTTGGATGGGGCTTTGAGCAACCTGGTCTAGTGGAAGGTGTCCCTGCCCATGGCAGGCGGGTTGGAACTAAATGATCTTTAAGATCCCTTCAAACCCAAACCATTCTATGATTCTGTTTTTGCACTACATGTTGAGCAGCCCAATTACCACTAGTGATGCCTCTAGGTTCACCATAAGAACTCTCTTTCTAAGAACCCATAGAACAACTTGAAGCTGATTTTATGACATTTCTTTTGTGAGCATTTCTCTTTGTCTTCTTTGCTATATCTTCATGGTGTTGGTGTTTACTTTTCCAGGGTGCCTGCTGCCTTCATGATAATCAGTTTGTAAAATCAAAAGAAGTTGCTGAAGAAACTTAAATGTTACCACATACTGAGGAATTTTTATTTTGCATGGGAGAAAGACATGGATATGTATTAACTTAGGCTCCCCCTTTCAACCATTAACCATTAGTAATAACATTAGAGTAGAGGAGGAAACAAAATTGTCTTCAGAGAGACTGTCTTACAAGGGTTCCTTGAGTTAGTAAATAACCCATGGGGAAAGCCACAGAGATGATAATGACCCAACCACCGTTCTCACCAAACCACAATATCACTTACTTGTTGAAGTGCTCTAAGAATATGAGGCTAGTGGAGGTCCCTATGATGGTTGTCAGTCCTCCAATGGTTGCCGCGTAGGAGATACTCAGTGAGAGGCATTTACAGACCATGTGGTCATGTCTGGTCTGATACCGGTACTTAGTGCTCAGGCCCAGTTCTGAGGGCTTAGGAGGCAGGACCAGTATCTGAGCCTGTGAGGGGATACATTCACCAAAGAAAGCAATTGATCAGAACAGCAGCCCAACTTGCTCTAATACCATGGTGATACTGGTCCCACAAAAACAACAGGTTTGCGTAAGAGGGGATAGTTTTTTCTTCACAGGGATTAACTGGGATCAGAACTAGAAACCTGTCCAGGGGCCTGAAATTGCCTGGTCTGTGGCAGAAATGTAGGACAAACAGTAATCAGACTTCTGGCTATGGTTTGGGCCAGCTCCAGTTCTGACTGGAATCTCAGCTGGATACCGAAAGCCTTTGTGGGCTACAGGGGTGGGATGCCAGCACTACAGCAGTAGGAATCCATAATCCTTGAGGCTTATGAGCAGCCACCAGACAAATGCTTGGTGGACTTTTTGCACTTACAGTGGCTCAGGGCCTCTAATTAGGAATGGAGTGCTAGAGGTCTCAGAAACAGCATGAAAAAGGCTGGACAATGGGAATATGGAAGAAAAAGCTGTAGGAAAATATTGCTCCCAAAGAAGCTTTCTCAGCAGTGACAGGAAAGTCTCCATGTTGGTAAATCAAGTTCTTGTACTAGGAAAAAAGTTACAGTACTTCAAGGCACTTCACATGCAACCCAAGGCTGTAATTTAGCATCAGGAAAAAGGCAGGAAGTAGTTCAGATAGATTTGTTAAATTTATTAATTTGGATTTGGGTTTATGTAGTAAAATCTATCATGCTATAGGTTCATCATCATCATGAGGGTACCCTGGCTAAATCCCTGTAGGTTAAAAGTGAAGTGAGTATATTTGTTACAAAATAACCACTGATTGTGTATGGGAAATGGGTATAAGAGGAAAATAAGTATCAGGAGCAGTGCATTAACCTTTTTTGGAAACATACACTCAGATTCTTTTGAACTGTGAATACAAATTTGTGCATTGCTTTTAGCCTAATCTTTCTTAGACATCAACTTATGCCATTAAGATACTATGTAATGGTAGTCCAAACAGCAATCACTTCTGGGATCCACTTAAGAGAAGTAGAAACACTGGAATGGACTAATGTAATGGAGGATTTTGAGGGTGTGGAATAATTGCTGGAGGTGACTTAGAAATTAAACTTATGTTCACATTTTTTGGAAAGGTACAGCATTGAAGAAGCTTCCAGGGTGGAGTGCAGCTGGCATGCAAGGAATCCATTCCATGGAAAGTTCCCTAGGCCTGCAACCTTAGATGTCAGCAACACCAGGGGAACTTGGTGTACTGGCTCTAAGAGGAACTGTCCGGAGGGTGGAGCGATGTGGAGACACCACAGCCAAGCTCTGTGATGATATGGGAACTGGAAGGTACCACGGAACTGATAAGCTGCATATTTGTTACCCTGGGCCAACAGTCTGTCATGATTTTGACAAAATGCTGTCCTTTTGGTAAACTTTGCTCATTATAATACCATTATAAGGCCAAAACACACCTCCATCCCAAAGCTGCTTGCCTCTAAGGTGCGACCACCCCTCACTGAGCTTGCGCTTTGAATTCTCCTAGTCTATACCTTTAAAAATGAAGCAAGAAAACTTTGTATCAATCATAACAAAGGTATGTATGACTAGAGTCACTCAAGCGCCACCTGAAAGGTAAAAAATACTATAAAATAAGTTAAGAGAGAGAGAATGTTAGGAAAGATACCATTGTGTACCACTGACTTCTGGGATCAGTCAACGGGCTGAGCCTCTCTTCCCCCCCCATCGGGATGCCTTTGGGTAAGATTCGAACACTGGTTATACCAAGTGCCTCCCTGGGAAACTTAGAAACCTCTACATAGAGTCACTTTATATCTTTTAATGCATCTATAGCTAGGCTGTGTTACTCGTACTTTTAGTATTTGCACGTGATTTGCAGACAGTGAATTTATCACCGGTAATCCAACAGAACCTGTGTATCTGTTGCTTTAATAAACTACACTGTTCATTAATCTAGCTGTGATAGTTCTCATTGAACGCGACCAGACGCTTTATGTGTGGCTGTGGTAGTTCATGGAACATGACTAGACGGAAGGTGCCTCATGTTATTTGTGCATCCGTAATTGTGATAGTTCAGTACACTGAACGCGACCGGACTTATAACGACAAATTGGTCATCTGCCAAATTATTTTAACCTCTTAACGCAACAGAGGGTGGATATTTGGCAAGACAAAAAGGAGGTGGATACTAAGACAACCTAACGAACTGGCTGAACAGATAAATGGTCCTGTGTGCTTCTGGTTTAGTTCTGAGTAGGATATAGTGTGGCAGGGACGGTTATTTTTGAGTTGGGCTATTTTCCAAGGAGGCTTTGCAAAAATAAAGTGGGTAAAACAGCCAAATAAGGGAAACTTGTGATCACATTACTGAATGTAAAGCTAAATGAATTGTACTAGCCACTCGGGGAGGGTCTTCTGAAAATACCTGTGCTGGGGGCATCTAAATGGGAGTAAGAACTAGCAAAGGCCAAGCTATGACTGCTCCATGTAACACATCTTACAAGTAACAAATATGAAACAGTGGGGAGCAGGTGATGTTCACACCTGTCTTTTCCCTCACCACCCAGGTCTAACATCTCCTTACCTGAGGTAGGTGCTGCCCATTGCTCTTAGAATTCATCGTTCCAATAGGGTTGGCTATCATGTGCACACCATTCATACTCTGTAGGGAGGCAAATGCCTTTGGATTAGCCTTTCTTCTGTTTCTAGGAGCACTTAGATTAGAATTGGTGATGCTTTGTAAAGGTCATGGGTAGTGGGCTTTTGGAAAAAAAAAAACAACCCAACACTGAAATTTCAGCTGTAAACTCTACACTGGAAAAAAAAAGATTTAAAAAAAACCCCAACAACCTGATTTTATTTTAAAGTGATCTTAAAAGTCAGATTATAATAAGTTTAGGTCTTCTTCCTCTGCCATGTAGGAGAATGTAACGGATCCCTTTCTAGAGGCTATGGCTTTGTGATATGTGTAAGTTGTTCTAGTAACTGAGATGTCTCAGCTGCAGAAGCGGGCAATACCTAGACAATAAAAGATTATCCCTGAACTTGCTAGAAACAGTGTGAAGTTCTTAGTTTGCTGACTGGATCTCAGGAACTCCAGCAATAAGTACAACGAACACTACAGAGCTAATGTTCCCCAACTTGATTCGGGCTGACAGGTTAAATACAAAGCAGGACATTGTGCAATACATACTCTGCCAACAACCACTACTTGTTTGAAATAAAGGAAACAGCAGTTTGTTGCAAAGCTGTGTGGACTCTGCTCTGATTGTTCCTGCATTAGAAGACAGTGTAGCTCAGAAGATACTACCTATGACAATACCTTTGAGTGCATCAAGGAGCTGAAGTCAGTAGTGGTAGCACTAAAAACAAAGAAAGGAAAATATACTTTAAAAATGCCTGTTCACCCAGCTCCCTCAAAAGGCACACATCATGGGTAGGAGGGGCAACATCTGCAGGAGAACTAGTGCCTACTGAAATGGTGAAGAATACCATTTATTAGTACCTCTTATGTGGTGTCTTGGGCAGATACATAAGAGTGGACATTATGTTTCACAGCTCTATCTCTAGCTGTGTAGCAATGGGGTTCCATCTCCATGAAAGAAAAAAAAATTGTATTCTAGGCAGTATATAGCCCATTTTAGGAATGGATTCGATTCACAGTGGAGTGAAATACTGGGCAATCCTACGCTACCACTGTTCTGCTCAAGTTCTTCCTCTGCCAACCTCTGCAATGCTGTTTCTGAGCACCTACCTGTACCACATTAAAGCCTCCACTAAAATCTGTCCTGTATGGCATGTGGACCATGCAAACAATCCACTAAACTTTTAGTTTGACATTGAAAACAGATTTAATTCCAGAAGATGTGCTACTTTTCTTTTTCCATCAAATTTCAAGCTCTTTTTCAAGTAATACTATTTTAATAATAGTTCTGTTATGAAATATTCCACACATACTCTTCAATAGGGCTTAAAGAGATTAATGGCACAATGCCAGACTAAAAATTTTATTCCATACTGCACAGAAAATATGGCTGGGATAACAATAGAGGGAATACTGGAGAACCCGTTAGTCTCCAGACCAATAAGAAAACTATTTAGATCTTGCAAGTTAACTTAAAGTCATCAACATGTGCTGGTTGAATGATAATGTTTGTTTTAAAGTAAGTTTTTAAAGGTGTAACAAGAACTTGTTTCTATTTTATTTTGAACAATGGTTAACAAAATAGAAGGAGCTCAAGAAGGGATTGTGCAATTTATTCTCACACCTTGTAAGAAGATGCTCATCAGGATATAGCCTATAGCATAGTTTTAGGACAATGACTTTGTATATTCTCCTGAGTATCTTGAAATGCTGGTTAATTTGATGATTTGACAAAGAAATTAGTCCTTTCCCTGATTTGCCCTTTTCACCTTACTAGACTTTACCCCAAATAGAGACCTGGTTGAAACTGCTAGTGTTCCAAAGTATTTCAAACTTCTGAAGAACTTTGTCTATATTAAAAGAAATATTTTAGAGTTTTTTTGGGGCAAGGAAGGATGTTTTTTGTTGGTGTCCGTCCATCTGTCCATCCCGTCCCGTCCCGTCCCCCCG